CCTCTCACCACCAATTTAAGTCGGCAGCAAAATCTAAGCATCACCTGGGGCCCTGAAGGCCAGGGTCACATGACCAGGATGTATGAGAGGCAGGGCTTGAACCGAACCCAGGGCTAGAGCAGTGCTTGAAGGCCTGAGGGGTGGGTCAGAGGCAGCACTTGTACCTGAGCCACCTCACAGTGTACTCCCCACCCAGAGCTGCCCTTGCCTCCTGTGATTGATTGCCTGGTGACATTGGAATGGGATACTGGCCTTTCAGAGGTAAATGACTCAGCCTCAGCTCATTCTTTCTTCTTCCCGGCACCACCGTCCTTGTGGGTAGGCAGCCTCAGCGGCGCCCCCACATCTCTTCAGGCAGAACCTGGCTTTTCTCCCTTCCTGGCCCTTTTCTGTCAGGCCGCCTTCTGGTACAGGCCCTCCTCCCCCTCACCTGCACTATTCCAACAGCTTTTTTGCTGGTGTCCCTGTCTGAAGTCCTCCCACTCCAATTCATTTTCCCCACAGCTACCAAAGTGTAAGACTGCCCACATCACCCCTTCACTCCATTCAGTGGACTCCAATGGCTCCTCTCACCTACAGAATGGCCTTTCTTTGGCCTGGTCACTTCAGCCTTTCTGGGAGGTCCAACGCTCCCCGTCTCCCTGGTGCCCTTCCAATGGCCCTCTCATTCTTCAGTCCTGTCTCTCCTCGCCCCTAAGCTCCACCTTTTAGCATCCCTGCCTTCCTGTGGGCCTTCTGCCAGGAGGCTGTTAGTGGACCTTGGTCACTTCGACAATTCCCTTCCATCCACTCTGTCTCTCACATGTACCTGGTTCTCTGGTGCCTCACCAGTCAGTCCCTAGTTCTAAGCCTTGTGCTTGGCAAGTAGTGATGGATTCGTTGTGAATGCTTGTTGATTGACTAAATGTAGTAGCCCAGGGAATGGAAGCACCTGGAGGTTAGTCTTGTGCCCCCTGTCCTCCTGCATCCTCTTCTCCTCCCTTCAATTCTCCCAGCCTCCTCTTTGCTCCTTCCATCATTTGAGGCCTGGAATTGAACTCATTTGGTGGGTATTTAAGAGTCTTTGACTGCACCTGTAATGAGCATGGCATTTTTTGTGAATAAGTATGTAGTCACATGTGTAATGTTAATTAGGAAATAAAATAAAGGAATTTTATTTTGGTGACATTTTCCATGTCTTCCAATCATTGGTGGAGGCACCTTGGTATAGCATCCCTTATTTTTTTTTTCCTTAATGCAATCTTTTTTTTTTTTTTTTTTTTTTAAGCAATGGGGTTAAGTGACTTGCCCAGGGTCTCACAGCTAGGCTAGTAAGTGTTATGTGTCTGAGGCTGGATTTGAACTCAGGTCCTGAATCCAGGGCTGGTGCTCTATCCACTGTGCCACCTAGCTGCCCCCCTTAATGCAATCTTGAATAATTTAATTTCAGTTATGCATTGTTTATCAGGCCAAAAAAAGGGGGTTTTCAGCTGCAGTTAAGAGTGCAGTCTGCTCAGCATCCAAGGAGTTTTATTTGGAATGTGGGATGGTGGGGGTGAGGAAGGAGATGCTGGACAGGGGTGATGGAGAGGCAGCCCCTGCTATGTCCTGGTTCTTTAGGGGGACTGAGGAGGGTGGAGAGGACTCTCAGTCCCTCTGTTCCTGCGCTAGGGAAGAAGCCATCCTTAGTGCCCTGGGGTCAGGGGAATCCCTGCTGCCATCGAAGAGTTGGAGTGAACCTGGCTGAGAAGCGTTTCCAGTGGCCCTTGCTGGAATGCTCACTTAGAAACATTTGTGAGGATAGTAATGAGATTCTTGAGTACCGATTGTACAGTAATATACTGCAAGGACTGGACAAAACCAGTGTTTGTTACCATGTTACAGCCGGTAAGTGGAGGCCCGTCTGTGAGCTGGGGCCAAGGATGTTCCCTGGATTGAAGAGGTTTTCAGTGGAAGAGAAAATGTTTGCTTGAGTATCGCCTTTGCACGGGGGGTATGTGCACCTGTCACCATCCTGAGAATCAGTGGCTTCCCCTCAGATTATAGCCTTGCTGGTCAAGATGGATCGAACCTGTGGGAATTCTGGCATTTTTGTGTGTACTTGATTTCCTCGTTAATATTATTGAAACTTCCAGGAGGCCCCAGCACCAATTGCCATGTGGTTGGGTGAAGGGATAACCTAGGGATGGCTGTCCCGTAGTGCTTGGCATACCCTTGCTAATACCTTACCCCACAGTCAGTACTGAATTAATAAGTGTTAGGTTTTTACCATTATCATTATACAGATAGAGACTGGGAAAAATGGCCGATGCAGATTGGCAGTAGGTGAAGATTTCCTTAGAAGAAGCTATGGAACGCCTGGGGCCCTTCTCCTGACTTGTAGGCATATTTTCTTCCTAGAATTTTTTGTCATTTATTGTAACCGAATTTTATCTCTGGCCTTAATTGAAAGGTCTTCTCTCTATTTTAGGATGGAAGAGATATTTGTGATAGTAGATGACACTGTTAAAGTTTTGCCTTTGATTTTGTGAGCTTAAGGTAAATAAGTAAGAATTCTTGCCAAATGAGCTAATGATGAAAGAAACATTGGGGATTTATATTCATATTTTAAATGTTATTAGTGATTCTATTACTGAATGTTAATTACGAACGTTAGAGCTGGCAGGGGACTTTGGGAGGTAATGTAGTCATCCCTTCTCATTTTGTACATGAAGAGAAGAGACGGCGAAAGGTTAAGTGACTTGGTAGGCCCTCAAGAGTTGTCCCATTGATTTGCCAAAGATCACAAAAGTGGGTAGTGACAAAGCCAGGACTGGAGCCGGTTCCCAGGCCAATGTTTCTTCTACTCTGCTGTCACGTCTCTCATCCTGGGGGCTAAATATCCTTTGGGCGACAGATATCTTTGTGTACTTCTGTAGGCTTTTCCCTCAATTTTAAGACTACTGTAAAAATGCTTTGTGGCATTATTTCCCCTGGCTTCCCTGATCTCAGAATAGGAACTGATTAAATAAAAAATATGTTGGTTTAGAAAAAAAATCCTCCTAAGGAAAATGTTGGTTGTGAGGACCTATGACCTACCAATAAATAATTTGTTTGAAAACGTTACAAAATTAGTGCCTTTTCCTGCCTACCACTGATTACAAGTTTTGTGATGGAGAACAAGAAACCTGACTGCCCACCGTGCACGCCGGGTTTGAGGAGAGCTGATGCTAAGGCTTCTGGGAAACCTAAAGCCGGTGCAGGAGGGACAAGCAACTCGACTCTTCTGAATTCTGAAGACTGGAAATGAAACAACCAGATGAGGGCGCCAGAAGGGGGGCTGTCAGAAGAAGGCCTTACGGAGCCATGGGCCGTTCATCAGCAAGAGGCAAGCAGAAGCTAGGAGGTTAGGTAATGGGAAGGAGACCCAAACGCGCATGATTCCAGAACTTCTTAACCTGGAGGCCGGGAACTCGTGTTTAAATTAGCACCACAGTTAATAGAGTCTGAGGCCTTGGTGTCAGGAAGCTTTGAGTTCAAATCTCACCGGAGTCACCTGGGCAAGTGACTTAACCTCTGTTAGCCTCAGTTTCCACAGCTGTAAAGAGGGGATGATAACCACTCATTTCACTGCCGCACCGGGGTTGTTGTGAGGATCAGATGAGATGAGATTTGTGAAGTGTCTTGGTAGATTCTTGTCCACATAAAATGCTTTGTAGACCTTCAAGTGCTATGTGAATGCACTATTATTTAAAACATTTTGACAACAGTATTTCATTATAATTTCGATATGATTTCCTTTGTAATCCTCTATTGTATTTTTTGCATTTAATGACATGATTCTGAGAAGAGGACTTCTAGGCAGGCTTCCTCAGCCTTCCTGCCCAAGGGGCCCAGAGCCCCATGTGGCCCTGTGGGAATGATATCAGGACTTCTAAAGCTCAGAATGAATGGAGGCTGCTGAGAAGAGCTCAGGAAGTCAGGGACACTTTGGCTGTCTTGGGCAAAAGGAGCAGGACGGTATGGCAGATAACGGAGAGGAGCACTCACCTGTCCTTCCTTGGGAGTTCAGAAGCCTGAAACAATCAGATAACTGGGACTGCTCAACCCTGGGCAGTGTCTTTGAAAGGCTGATGAGAGGCCTAAGAGAGGGCAGAGATCCCAGCTTCCTTTTTTGTTGTGAACTTCATTATCAAGAACCAAAGATGCCGGTGCTTGGGGAGGAGTAAGAAAGAGGTTTGGATAAGAAATGGAATTCCTTTTACATAGAATGTAAGCGTGAATGTGTGTGTGTGTGTGTGTGTGTGTGTGTGTGTGTGTGTGTGTAAAAATAAACAGGATCGTAGGAAGATTGCTCTATTTGTGTCTCCTTTATTTCTGTTTTTCTTCTTTGGGGTATTTTCTGTGTTTTATTGATGCTCATTTATTTATTTTTGGATTTCTCTTGCTCCTATGACTTTGCCCCAGCCAGTCTACCTAGTATGCAGGAGGCCTTCCTTGCTTTCTCCTGACATCCAGAGGGTAGCAGTGGAACCTTCGGCCTGTCTCCATGCCATCCCTCACCTTTTTACCAGCCCATCTTTCTTGTCCTACGGTTTTTTTTTGAGGACATCCAGCACCCTACTCATTGGAAGTACGGTGTTGTCTGCTCGCCAGGCTCCTGCTCTCCACTGCCCTCTGTGGGGTATTCATTTTTAGTTCTTTGGAGTCTGTTGTAGTCTGAGTTTTGTAGCCATACAATGCCAGCAGTAGAATATTGGCTTCTATGAGAAGCCTGGGGTCATTGAAGGAGCTTCAAACTCTCCTGAAGGCCGTCCAGCTCACTTTCCTCCTCTTGTTTTCCCCTCCTCTTGTTTAATCCTGGGCCCAAATCATCCACCTTTACCATCTGCCAGACACCCATATTGATGGACAAGAATGATAAGTTATCCATCCAAATGCATGTTGTGGTCTGAGCAATAGACATTTTTCATCCGCTTGGTCTTTCCTGTGTGGATGGGCAGGCCAAACTCCTCCTTTAAGTGATTATAGATCTCTTTCAGGGAGCTCTGCAATGTTCCTGGCCTTGATGTAATCAGCACAATGTCATCAGAAAACAAGAGCATCTGGAGGACTTCCCCATCAACAGGTAATCACTCCCTCTTGGGCTTGGACTGCGTACCGAATGCCCTGCCTCACTGTGGCGGACAGCTTTGACGGACGCACATCTCCTTGTACTGTCCCTCACTTGATGTCTTCAGTTCCAAGAGTTATTGAACAAGGTTATTTCTGTTGTTAGAGCTTTCCAGAAAGCCTCCGTGCTTTTTATGTCTAGATGAGAAACAGCTCGTTGGAAGAGAGAGCCTGTAAGGTGGGGTTTGGCTCTGAATCACGTGCTTTGTTGTGGGGCTTCTGGGACCTTGCCTTCTCTGTATCTTTCAGTCAGTTAGGAAACAGTCAGGAAGGCATCGATTGTTGAACGTGGTTTGCAGAAGCCTCCTTGTTCCCTGTGTCAGTGTCTAGCTGACGTTCTAGAGATTTTGTATACGTGGGAGGGGAGGCAGAGAGGTTTGGATGCAGTTACGGGTGTTCTCATGGGAGCTTTTTTTGGTGTTCATGAGGGCGAACCTTTATTGCACGACTTCACGTTGTGTGTTGATCCCTGGGTGCTTTCACCGTTGGGCAGCCTCCAGCAGGGGTCGCCGTTTCGTCATCCTGACCCATTCTGACTTTTTCTCATCTTAGTGCTTTTCCTGCCTCCCCCATGAGCACGTTCACAACGGTAGCATTAGGGTCCAACTCCATCCCTGGTGGAGGGAAAAAAAATGTTATAATGAATTCTACAAAGCTTTTCCATTTTTTCTCTCTCTTCTATTTTCATCTGTAAGTGCCCTTGAAATGACATTGCTTGGTCGAATGTTTTATCAAACTTTCTTTCAACTGATTTAGCTTTCCCATGCTTCTCTCTGCTTCATGAGACGATATTGCTCATGATTATCCATCATGCTTCCCCGTGTGATTTTACAAACGAATTTATGTTCTGGTCTGGCAGCCATCTTTCTCTGTTTGGCAAGTAAGTCAGGAACCTGCTGGCTCCTTGTTGTGGAAGCTGGGTTCAGGTCCTGCCTGTATGTTCTGGAAGCATTTGTAAAGCGCTTACTAGGTGTAAAGTGCTGTGCTGGGGAGACAGATAGAAGAGTCAGACAGTCTTTGCTCTCCAGGAGCTCACCTCCTAACGGCAGAGACAACACCTCAAAATTCCCCTGCTCCTCAGGGCACAGCAGCAAAGCAGATGGTAAGACCTCTTATTTATGTCATTTCCATCGATGAGATGAACCTTCTTTTTGGAGGCTTCAGTAACTCTTCAGTAACCTGGAGCAGTCCAGGCTGCAGGCTGCATCTCCATCAGAGGGGGCTTCCCAGGATAATGACCGTGGACACTGGCCTGCAAGTGTGGCTGTTCCAAGGTACTTGGAGTTTAGGGTCCTGAGCTGTGTGCATCAAGGTCCACAGGGAGATGCCTTGCCAGGCAAACCCAGCCTTGTGTCTTCTTTGGGGTGCCCTGCCTCCTCGGCCTTAGTCTCCTTATCTGTAAAATGGAAGGGTTCCACTTGATAACTTCAAAGGGCTCCTCCAGCCCTAAGTCATAGGATCCTATCACTTCATGGATTTTCTCCATCTCTGAATATCTGTATAAAATTATATTCAGTTTTGATCTAATTTCTGTTGTCTATTTCCCATTTTATATTGTCATTTGCTTGCTTAAATAGTTCAGGATTACATTATTTCAAATGCATGCCATGTCTTCTCATTGTTATTAGTTTTTGTTTTTGTTTTTCTCTTTCTTTTTTTTTGCTAATTATGATCTTAGCCCTGGCAAACTGATGGTATTGAATGTAGATAGCTGATGCAGGGATAATCACACATCAGTAACAAGTCTTCTCTGTCTTTTAAAATATCAACTTCATCTTTTCTACAGCCTCTGTAACTGATGGCAGTACATCCATTATTTTCGTGATGGTCTTTTTGTAGATGGCATTTGCATCGGCGATACATGATGACCAAATGAAATAATGTTTCCTGTTTGGAGGGCCCACAACAAATCCCCTGCTTCCAGCTCTTGTCTTTACCTCTTCGAGTAGACCCCAGAGGCCATTCTGTCGTTTTGCTGCAACACTCCTGGATTAGGTTGAGTGTCTGAACATGAAAGGATCTTGGATTCAGTATTGGAAGGAACTTTGTCCAAGCATGGATGGTGGTAAGGCTGACGTCATCATCAGTCTGATCAAGTCACCTCTGGTCCTGTTTTTGACCCAGGACCTTGCCGTAAGGCGGGATGGTTTCTTTTACGTCCATTGTTGTGGTTCTGCTTATGTCCCTTTGTGTCAGGATATTTATTTTAAGTCTTCCTGTGTTTCTCTGAATGTATCGTATTGACCATTTCTTACACATTCGATCCATGCAAACTCTTTAGAATATTAATGCATTCACCCTTATGACTCGAAACCTCCTGTACTGGAAAACACTCCCCTGCTAGACTCCTCACAGCCAGAGGGTCATTTTTCATCCTGTCCAGCTCCACCATCATGTTACTGAAGTAAATGTTACTGCTTTTTCGTTTCAATTGTATCTGACTCTCTGTGACCCGTTTGGGGTTTTCTTAGCAGAGATACTGGAGTGGTTTGCTGTTTCTTTCTCCAGCTCATTTGACAGATGAGGAAACTGAGGCAAACAGGGTGAAGTGACCTGCCCAGGTTCACACAGCTAGTAAGTGACAGAGGCCAGATTTGAATTCAGGAAGATGGGTCTTCTTGACTCCAGGCCTGGTGTTCTGTGCACTATGGCGCCCTCTAGCTGCCCATTACTGCTTCATTCTTGCTTTCTTGGAGTGTGCTTTCTGTCCATACCTCCTTGTGCTGGGTTTTCTCTTTGCCTTTGTCCCTCCTGAATGGGTAACACTTCTTCAAGCGTGAAGGGACCAAAATGCTGTAAGTTGTGAACCTGTGGGCCCTGTGGGGCATGCAGCGGCAGAAGCAATTCTCTCCTGAGAGAGAGGAGAGGGAGGGGCCGCCAGAGGGATCACCAGCTGTCTCGGAGGTGGTGAAGAAAGCCACGAAGATCTCAGTCTATGACACAAACTGCTCAAAGCGGCAATTTTTGAAAGCATTTTAAAGTTAGAAATAGGCACTAAACCCTTTTATTTTCCAATGAAACCACCTTACTCCCACATCTTCGCAGTGCTCACCCTGGTGTCTTATTTGTATGTGGTTTAAATGCTCTAAATATTTTATTACAAACACGTTTGTGTAACTTGGGATTTGTATGAGGTTTGTTGTGAGATTCTTAACTTTTTGTAAAGGCTGTTCTGGACCAAGCCTTTTTTTGGTCACATGATCCCTGGTGCGTCCTCATAGTGGTGCCCAAGGTGGGTAGGGCACAGAACGATTACTGTTCACACTCGTACTTGGTGCTTCCTCACTAAGTTATGACCAGTAATTTGGAAAACAGCGACCTGGTCAGACAGCAGTTTACCTCCGCTTAGCGTGGTTGGCGTTGGATTGTACTGAATCACATTCCTTCCAGGCAAGCTCCTTGTGGACAGAGAGACTGTCTTGATCTTGTATTTGTATCCCAAGCACTTAGCACAGTGCCTGCCACGCAGTAAGTGCTTAATAAATGCTTTTCCATTCACTCATAGGCTCTAGAGTGGGAAGGAACCTTAGGGGTGATCTTGTTCATTCCCATCTTCTTATAGATGCTGAAGCCTAAGGAGGTCAAATGACTTACCCCTGGTAGTAGTGAAGTGTCAGAGGTGGGATTCGAACCCAGGTCCTCTGACTCCAGAACCCCTTGGCTTTTCCATTGTTTTATCTCTGCTGCCACTCTTGCTGCTGACATGGCTTAGGACAGAGGAGACCATAATGCAGGCTGGAGTCTACCTGCTGCTTGCTGTCTACACCGTTAGGGTTGGTGCAGACACATCACAAGAAGTGTGTATAAAAGGTCATAGTCCAGGATGTTTTTATCCTCAAAGAAATGATCTTTTTCCCTCGTTAATCACAAAGTGATTCTAACTTCTCAAGTTCATAAAGAGTGAAGATACATCCTCAGTTCAAAGTCTGTTTCTTGGTACTTTTTCAATCACATCAATCATGACAGAATTTGACTTAAGAACTAACATCTTGATGTGACAGCTGAAATTGAACCGTGCATTTTGGATTTGTCAGGAGTTGGATGTTTGGGACAAATGTCATTTATTGAAATAGTGAAAATTCTTTGCATGTGAAAATGGTTATCAGTGGCCAACATTACTTAGAACGTGTTTGGATTTGCGGAGTTAGAGAAAGTGCAGATAACTGAGATGGCCACCAGATCTCATGCCCTGTTTTCTTTTTAGGCAGTTGGGGTTAAGTGACTTGCCAGGTCACACAGCTAGCTAGTAAGTGTCAAGTGTTTGGTCTGAGGCCAGATTTGAACTCAGGTCCTCCTGTTTTCAGGGCCAGTGCTCTATCCACTACGCCACCTAGCTGCCCCCCCTATTTTCAATATGCATTTATTAAGGACCTACTATGTGCTGAGCACTGGCGGTACAAAGAAAGACAAAAACCAATGCCCTGTCCTCAAGGAGCTTACAATCCAACGGGAGAGACAATGTGCGAACAACCATGTGTAAACAAGATCTGTTATCGCCATCTCTCTGTGACATTTGATGCTATTGATAACTCTTTCCTCTTTGGGTTCCTGTGTGACTGGTCTCTCTTGGTTTTCCTTCTGCCTGGGAGACCACTCCTCAGTCTCCATTGCTGAATTATTATCCCATCTCATGTCTCCTAATTGTAGAGGCTTCTTAAGGCTATTCTGAACCCTCTTTTCTCCATGCTCTCTCACCTCAGCCCCCATGGGTTTAATTATCTCTGTGTAGGTGGTTTTGGATTGATCTAGCCAGATCCAGTCATGAATCACCAGCTGCTTGTTGGATGTCCAGTAGGCATCCCAAATTCACGGTGTCCAAAACACAACTCATTATCCTCTCCTCAGATCCAGTTTCCCCTCTCCACTTTACTATTTCTGTCAGTGGTGCCATCTTTCCAGTCATCCAGTTTCACCTCCTTGGTGTCATCCTTGACTCCTCACTCTTCCCCCCTCCCC